TTCCAACTTTTCTTTTTAGAGATCTATCCTCCAGTTTTACGATTTTATCGTAAACAGTTGATCTGGGTAAACCCCATTCCATAAACTGCTTAGCAACAAACGGTTTACCTTTTTATCGATTTTTTGGAAAAAAATTTCCATAATTTTTTCAAAGTCCTTTACTTTGACCATTTTATTTTTAATATTTAAATAATATTTTTAACTTAATTAAATTAAATTTAAATAGATTATAAAATCCTCTTTCAAATAAGTATAAAGGTTTTTTGCGTGCATAAAATTAATTACATAATCAATGCAATTAAAATTTGTCAGAAATTTTATTTATAAGGTGTTATTTATATATTTGCATAAATCTTTTCATTTTAACTTTATCAATTTATTTAAATTACTACATTATCAGAAGGCAGGTTTGACATTATCAGCAAGCAGGTGTAATTGCACTTATAAACAGCCTTTTTGGATTATATTTGGATTATATTTTTGGATTGATTCTAATCAATATGTTGAAGCTTGAAGTTATTATCAGATTTATATATAATAATTTTATCAAATAGTTTATACAAATGTTTTTTTATGTAAAAACATGTAAACTATTATATTTTTTCTATATAGTCTATTTCAATTGTTTATCACTGTTTGTATATCACATATAGTATGATATTACTTGTAGTTTTTTGTTTTATTTATTTATAGTATGCTTATACATATACATGCGTCAAATATTGTGGTGAAGTCAAAATTTAATGTTTTAGGTGCATTATAGCTATTATTTTTTAAAGATTTGCAGGATTCAACAAGATTTAAACTGTATTTAGTTAATTGATTTTATTACATAAAAGCAATCCCATTGATTAAAAGGATGGATGGACATAGAATTGGTCGAAGTCTGAACTAAACCCATAAGCTACATAAAGCAAAACTAGATACCATTTGAAGAAAAATTCTCTGAAATTTGCAACAATCTTACAAAATAGATACAAAAAGATGTGCAGCTTGCAAAAATGAAAGTGGGTGATATTTTAAATACTAGATGTTTATTTTTGTTGTGATAATTTTAATATATCACAGTTTTTTATTGATAATTTTTTATGTTAACATTTTTTAACAACAACTGTAGTATATCATTTAAGACTTTTGTTTAACAAACAATTGTCAAATAAATAAAGATCGATAATTCCTTTAGCTTCTATTTTAATTCAATTCTTCTATTTAATTATGTATACTAGATGCATGACTATCTGTACTTTGTGTATAACTTAATGAAACCAGTGCCCGCTATTTTGTAGTATGATAAAAATAAATTACAGTAAAATTGAGAAATATTTAAATAATAATAATAATGAAATTTAATATTTAATACTTGAATTTCACATTTATTGACTTGAATTTATTAACTTTTACTATATTTTTTTATTTATAAAATATTTATATACTAGGATTTTTTAATGCATATTTTTGATATATATTCACAATAAGTAATGGCTTCTATTAAAAATAACTAACTGATAAAAACTAACTGATAAAAACTAACTGATAAAACCAAACTGATAAAACCTAACTGATAAAACCTAACTGATAAAAATCTAACTGATAAAAACCTAACTGATAAAAACCTAACTGATAAAAACCTAACTGATAAAAACCTAACTGATAAAAACCAAACTGATAAAAACCTAACTGATAAAAACCTAACTGATAAAAACCAAACTGATAAAAACCTAACTGATAAAACCTAACTGATAAAAACCTAACTGATAAAAACCAAACTGATAAAAACCTAACTGATAAAAACCTAACTGATAAAAACCAAACTGATAAAAACCTAACTGATAAAACTTTTTTGAATATTTGTGTTGAAGTAATATCAAGAATAAATCAAACTTTCCCAATGCGTGCTTTCAGAATTCAAAGTTTTTGCTATATGCTATTGTTAAAAGTAATGTTTTATTGTCTGCTGTTGCTGTATTTCCAATACCTGAACAAATGTAACCTATAAAACTAACATTGTCTAAATAAATCACATGCTTACTAGATTATTTTGCTTAGATTAATTTAATTTTTTTTTTTTTTTAATTTTTGTTTATTTACGTTGTATTAAAATAATAGTGAAGTTTTTCTTCTGTAGCTGATTATTTTGATTATTTTGATACTTTGATAAAAAAGTTTTATAAAAACTGAATTTATTATATTTGTGAATAATGAATATATTTCATATATTTGTGATTTAAATTTTTGTATAGGGATCCTAAAGTGCCAAGACAAGTTGTGTTCATGTTAAAAAGAATAAAGAGAAAAAAATGTTTAGGCTGACTTTTTTTTAAGTAAAAAAAAAAAATAAAAACTTTTTTGTTTTACTTGAAGCTTGCTGTCTCCATGTTAGCCAGTTCCTCAAAGTTTTTAAAATAAACGTTGCAATCTACAGGCTTTATAACTTATTCAGTTCCAAATAATTAATTAGTAATTAATTCCAAAGAGTTTTAGTAAATGACATTTTTATTTTAAATCAATATTGTTTGTTTTTGTTTTATTTGTTATTTAAAATAAGCATTTATTATCAATCATATGACTTTCCTATAAATTTTATAGGAAGCTAAACAAAAGAATATTGTTTTTATAGAGCGCGAGAACCAAAAAAAATAAAGATTTTTATGTTAGAGTATAATAAATATAATAAATATTCTCTTAAATATAACAAATATTCAAAAAAGACATTAATCACCTTATTATATATTCTGAATCTTTTTTCTTTATATGTAAACAATGCGAACTTTTTTTTTAGTTTACCTAAGCCGTTTATCATCATTGACATTTTTGTTCAAAAATCTTTAAGATCTGCACTTATTTTTTAAATAAAATTTGGATGGCATAACATTAACAACTAATTAAAATTCGAATAGTAAATCTCTTTAAAAGCATAACAAACTATATATAGAAAGCTAAACAAATAAACTTTTTAATTAAATAAGTTTTTAACGCGCATCATTAAACAATAAGAAATGCAAAGTGCTTAAAACCATTTATAAATTATATAGATTTTATAAATAGTAACTAAAACATTAAAATTCAAAACTAAGTCCAAAACAAAACTAATTGAATATATAAAAAGAATATTTTTTCTGCAAATGACATTTGTAGTTACTTATCTAAATATTTATACACTACAAGTTAAATTTTACAGTGTTAATGCTGCTTTATTTTATAACTAAATTTAAAGAAGTTTTTTTTATCAAAGATTACTCAAAATTTTTTAACTTTATCAAGTGATAACTTTTTGTAATAACACAATATGACTCTTATTTGTTCTTGATTATGTAGAGAATTAATGAAACTTTAAGAACAAAAAAATTATATGTGTTTGTATTGAAAATTTATGTACAAAAAAATTGTAAAGCATGCTTAAAAGCTACAACCTGCAGCTTGTGGTCAAAATTTGAAAAAATCAAAAGCTGCTGTCAGCAGCTTGCGGTAGTGTTAAATAATATAAAACAATTTATTTAAACATAATCTTAATAAGGAAAATAATCATTTAATAGCAATAAATATAACACAAAAATAATTTATAGAACTAGGCAAACTTAAAATATCTAAAATATTTTATTTATACTTTTAATGCAAACTTTGCAAAATTTAGAAAATAAAATAACTAAAGAAATTATACAGTAAGTAACTTTACAGAATTACTTACTGTACATTACTTCATTAAAGAAATTCTACAGTAAGTAACTAATAAGTAACTAAACAAATTCTTTAGTAATCTATTATAATAAAAAAAAAATCTATAAATTGATAAAAAAAAAAAAAAGAATTTTTAGATTTCTTATCGAAATTCTATAATGACGTCAATTACTAAAACTCTTAAAATTAAACACGCTTGATTAAATTATTAATTCTATAGATTGCAGCATATATTTTAAAGATTTTGAGGAATTGGCTAAAATAGAGACGGTGAGCTTCGAGTAAAGCAACAATGTTTGCTTTCTTGGTATACCTTTATTATTTTGTTTTACTTAATAAATTCTGCTCAAACATTTTTTTTTATCATTCTCTTTAATACAAACACAACTTGTCTCAGAACATTGGGATCCTTTAACAACGTTATCAATTTATATAAGTTACATATTTACATAAATTTCTAATATGTCCATATAAAAAAATGTTGAGATGTTTTCTGCCATTAACTGGAGTTCAATGGCTGCATTCAGCACCCTGTCAAAATGCACAAGTAGGCACTACTATTGTTAAGTTCAGCATTATTATATTCAGAGATTCTTTAATAATATTCCTACATTTTTTTACCTATTAACATGCATAACACACTGTTTTCCATCACTTTTACGAATACCCTTACAAGTGCCAAGATCTTTAGCTATACCGATTTCCATCAATTTTTTTGGATTGTCTAATGAAATTGAAACTTCTTGCTAAAAAAAAAAGAAATTAAACACAAATTATCAAATATGCTTTGTTTATCTTCAAATACTTATGTGTAATTGTATAAGTTTAACATTAGCGCACATAAAATTACACTAACCTTTTATAAATACTATTATTTAATATACTTTATACAAAGTGTTTTTATATCTTGTTAAAAATATTTGAGAAAAATAGAAATATAAAACAATAAAGGAAGATTTTTAAAAAAGAGACATTAAAAAAGTATATACTAAAGTGTATTGATTTCTTTCATTTCAGTACAAAAAAGGTTATAGTAAATAAATATATAAAAACAAAAAAATAAAACTAATTTTATTTATTTGATGCTGCAAACACAAGCTTTACTTCACAAAACAAATAAAATTTAATTATAAAAACATTTGCACTGATGAATTTCCTTAAATCATAGATACCGCCTGCCCAAACTTGCTCATCGTATTTTATAAATTATTGCATTTATATATTTTATAAAGTAATAAAAAAAAACATTAATTTGATTTATATGTTGAAAAAGGTCACCCACAAACCAAAAATTTTAATTTACCAAATATACGTATGGATAAAATTTCAATTTTATGATTATGTTAATGTTATTTTTAAACTCTAATTTTTAATTGGAGAGTTATTATGTAGTTTTAAGGCATTTAACAGTTTATTGTTACATCACAACACTCTAAATTAAATAAATATAAAATTACAAACTTTAATAACAATTCTACAAGTACAAAAAAGCTACTGTATATATCAAATAAATGTTGTGCAGCATTCATTAAATACAGCCTAATATACAATCCTTATGCTTTGTTATACAAAAAAATCTAAGCTGAAGGTTCTATTTCTTTTGACAAATGTCAAAAAGATCTTAAAGACTTCAAGATCTTTTTAACATTGCTTTCGACATTGCTTGTTCTGTACACTGATTTTTTCTGAGAATTTCCAGTCATGATGGTTCCTGATTCCAAAACTTTTTAACTGAGTTTAATGCTTATTGTGACTGTGCAAGCTGCTGATAGTCAACTGCTGATAGATGAATAGCTTCTGATAATCATCTGAATTGTAGTCAATCACTTGCACTTGGTCATTAAAGCAAGCATAAACCTATCTGTAAGAAATGAATCTACTAGTGTTGAGTAGTGAGTCTCTTCTCTCTGCTAGAAGAATAAATGCCAAAAGAGCTAGTATTGCTCCGGAATTTCATTTTGCATTATTTACCTTGAACATTTCACTTTAAGAAATAATCTAGATTATTCAAAAAACCAGAATGCCTGAGTTAAATGATAAATCTCATATCACGCCGTCCTGATGTTTCTGTAATCACTTCTTTACCATTCTTAAAATTCTTTCTAAGTTGTTTAAGGTTCTTTACAAGTTCTAAGAATAAAAGGACGTTCAATAATTAGTGACATGTTGTTTCCTCCATGTTCTTCATTCATTTTTATGTGAAGGACTCGGTCAAGAACATAATATTGAAAGCTATTGAATTGTGGTTATTCCAGTTTTTATGACCTCTTTGTATGACATATTTATATTACACCTTTGTAACTAACTGATAATCCCATTTATTTTTCTAGTGTTTACATTTGTAGTGTCCACTACAACCATCTTTATACTCATAATTGTACTCATTAAGGACAGCTGTTGTACTTTTAACAGCAGCATCTGTTTTTCCATCTGGTAGATTTAGTGCTTTTAACTTAAATAAACCTGCTGTTGCCATAATTACTGTGGTTAAAGTAGGCTTCAAGGATATTTTTCTTAATTTGGATGAATAGATAGTTTTTGAATTAGCAGTCTTCCCAGTTGTATACCAGACCTGTCCTTTGCTTTCAATCTAAAGATGATAAAATCTTTTATCCTCACTGAGGAGCCATTTACCATCATTTTAGCGATGTCAAAAACTTCATTCAATGAATCGTTATTTTTTTGTTTTACATTTTTTTAATAAGTTTTCAACACTTTATCTGGTTTTGCCTGTACGAGTTGGATTGATAAATGTAGAAAATTCAATTTTTTTTTCCCATAAACTTGTTACTTCTTTTTCAAATTGCTTTATGTGATCTTGTCTTCCTTTGATGGATTCTCCCAGAAACAGAGAGCAACCAACAATTTGAGGAACAGAGAGCAACCAACAATTTGAAAAAAAGAGATCAGCCAACAATTTGAGGAACAGAGAGCAACCAACAATTTGAGGAACACAGAGCAACCAACAACCTGAATTCAGTATCCTGCTATTATCTTCCAGTTATCTTCAAGTTCACTTTTTCTTTACCCTTAGATTCTTGTTACTTTGATTGTTACTTTAATTCTTTATCAAGATTCTTTCAGTAGTAGAAGCATTTCATTATAGGACTTTATAATTGAAGATATTACTTGAATATATCTCTGAAAGGCAATAATAACAAATATTGCTCAATACAACTAAAGCATAGAACAAACTCGTAAAAAAAAGCCGGTAATTTTAAACAAATCGGGTTGGTTGGTAGTGGCAAACCGAGTAACTTTTTATTTATTGGTATTTAATTTATGCAAACAAAGAAAAAATAAATAATGGCAAAGTATTATAAACAACCGAAGCATCTATTATAACAGTTTTGCAAGAGATATATATTAATATATCAATAAATTAAAAGTAACTTACTTTTAAATTAATGCTATAAAAATAAAAGAAACCAAATGTCAATTAAAGTTTATTACTGATATAAAAACAAAATGAGTTTGAAAATGAAAGTTATTTGTTTATAAAGTTTACTGCTTCTTTTTTTATTGTTTACGCATTCTGAATGGAATAAATCATCTTTTCAAGATGGCCGAATAAGTCTTGAGTATTTCAAAAAATGATACTCAATACCAAAAATAGTTTTTTTAATGGGGTTAAAAGTTATGATTATTTATGAAAAAACGACTTTTGTAGAAAAATTAATACTACCTTAGTTTATCTGAATCTAACGTGACATTATAATTAAACATACTCATTTACGTGTGGTATTGAAAATAATAACTTCAATTTTCATAAAAAAAAAGAGTTTTTCATGGATTATTTACCCAAATAATGTCTGATTAGAAATGTCAAGTTATATTTATCGAAAACAAGCATCAATATGTGCTTTTAAGAAAAAATAAAATCCATAGACTTAATTATATGTTAAAAATTACATTTTTTCTAAATAAAATTATCCTTGATGATTTGTTATAGTCGCATTATTTTTACCAAATTATAATAGTGGTTAAAATAATCTTTCTCTATACATATCAAATGAAAAAACTGACATATATAGCAATTGAAAAAACTTATCTTTTTGTTTGTGTACCATGCCTTAGTTGCATTGAGTGTTATACTTCTATATTATTTGACTGACACAGATTCATATGTAATTAACAGCATTGCTCAAGCAGGCAGCTTATAGAGTCTAAGTCTTGCGAATTTTCATAAACTCCTAGAAGACTCCGAAAATTCTAGATGGTTTCAGAGATTTCTAAAATCATCCAGAACAGTTTAGAAAATTCTAGAAAGTTCCGTTAAGTTCAAGGAAATTCCAATTTTCAGAAAATCATAATGCTTCTACTTGCAAACACCACTTATATACTATTTTTAAAATGTCCTGTTGTGGGTGACCTTTTTTAAAAAATAATCAGAATATAACCTATTTTCATTACTTTTGAGCAAAAGTTCAGCAATTTATATATACGTATATATATATATATATATATATATATATATATATATATATATATATATATATATATATATATATATATATATATATATATATATATATATATATATATATATATATATATATATATATATATGTTTTGTCATTCAAATATATATATCAAATATATATACAATTTGTCAATCAAATATATATATATATATATATATATATATATATATATATATATATATATATATATATATATATATATATATATATATATATATATACATATATATATATATATATATATATATATATATATATATATATTAAATTAAGAAATGGTTGTAAAAGCATAAATTTTGTAATAAGTCTAATAAATATAATAATTTTTTTCAGTTTCAACAACATGTTTCAATTATACAACAATCACTTTCAAATATAAAACTGTTAAATACAAATTTTTTTTAATATATAGTGAAAACAAACATTAATTTAATTTTATTTGTTACTCAAACAAAAAAAAACATGAAAGGTGTGAGAAACTACATCATAGAATAATAAAAAATTTAGATAATTATTGTAATACATATGTCATAGAGTAATAGAAAATGTCGATTAGAGCTGGAGTGATAACGTGTTGTTTTTTTAATTTGACTAACGAATAAAATTAAATTAATGTTTGTTTTCACTATATATTAAATAGTTTTTGTATTTAACAGTTTTATACTTGAAAATGATTATTTATAATCAAAACATGTTGTTGAAACTTAAAAAAATTGTTATATTTATTAGACTTATTACAAAATTTATGCTTTTACAACCATTTCTTAATTTAATATATATATATATATATATATATATGTATATATATATATATATATATATATATATATATATATATATATATATATATATATATATATATATATATATATATATATATATATATATATATATATATACATATCGGACGCTATTAACTGATAATGCACAAAGCACAGTAGATGTACAGGCGGTAAGTTTTTTGTATTTCTCATCTAGCTTTTATAAATTTCTGAAATATCTTTAAATCTTCTATTATCATTATCATAAATGATATAATTTTCGAATATACCTTATTCATAAATATTATGTATTATATATTACAATAGTATTTTATATTTAAATATTTATATACTATAATAGTATTATTATTAATAAATATTTATATACTATAATAGTATAATAATATTATATATTTAATTTTTTAATCTGTTTTTAAAGTTACTAAAGTTTAATTTTTTAATGATTTACTTAACAAAGCATGTTCTGTTCTGTAGGTGTTGTATTGAAATTGTATCTTGTGACAGGCTTTTAACTTTATAGAAGCTAAAGATGACTTTATTTTAAATATAAATAAGTTTTTTTTTTTATTATTGGATATAATTTAATGTTAAATATTTAATCATATTTTATAAGAATCTAATTATTTAGTACAGAGTTATTGTCTGGTGGTGATATTCAGGTTTGATTTTATAAAGTTAAATTTACTTTTAAAGAATCTTTTAAATTTACTTCTTAAAAAATTTACATTAGTTTTTTTTTTAGTTTCTTTTTTAATTCAACAAATTTTTTTGTACAAAATGTTTAAAATTGAATAATTTTAAACATTTTGTACAAAAATGTACTGTTTCTACATTAAATATATTCTGTTTCTACATTAAACACCATTAAATATTTTAGCAAAACACGCATTAACGATTTACTGCTGTGTTTATGATTCTCTATGTCAAAATAATATTTTATTGTCAATTAAAATTTTGTGAATACTTCAAATTGCAGTTAACAATTTTCATTATAATTAACAATTACCACTGAATTAAGAGGTATCTAATAAGTACTTACAATGTAAAAGAACTTAAAAATTAATTTTTCACTGTGTATGTACTTTGTCAATGTATCCTTATCTGTTCATGAAAACATTAATGTTATTAATTAAAAGGATCATATTTTTAACAAAAATAAACATTTTACTATATTTTTTTTTTAATTTTTTTTTTTTACTTTTGTTTTTATAAGTTTACATTTATTATCATGATGGTAGAGTATTTTATTTCTTTAGTTCTCCTTTGGTGCTCTACTATCATAAACCTACTTTGTCTACTGTTGAAATATGGTTTTAACTTAATAAACTTTAATTGTTTAAAATTTACTATGTTGATCAAAAGCATATAGATTAAAAACAAATTAGTTTGTCGCAATCAAGGTAAGAATAATTTTACTTTTTTGGTAAATTACAAAATTTGTTTGCAATGATAACTTTTATGTTTTTGTTATTTTATGTAATTTATGTTATTTTATGTAATTTATATCTTTGCAATAAATGCCTTTTTTTTCAGATTTTGACTACTTTTAACAGTACTCTAGAAAAGATTGTAAATGGTTAATTTGTAATGGTTTTACTTCCTTTATCATATCTTTCTTAATATTTTTTTAATTTTAGATAAATTTTTCAATGCATTTTCAGCATAATGCAAAACAAATAGAGGGCCCACATCCTCATAAGGCAAATAAGGTCCAGGACCAAATTTAGGGCAAAAGCTCAACCCCCTCCTTTTTTAAATAGGGAGTGTGGATCCTGTAGAATGTACAATATGAGGAGAAAGAGAAGTTGGAAAATAATAAGCTACTTCTATAATTAGTATTTTTGTAGTTGGTTAATCTAATAATTGTTAATTGATGATACAAATAAATTTAAATTATTTTTGTAAATAAAACTTTTCTTTATAATTTTGTTTTGTTATTATGTATAAATAAATTGATTTCCATTTAATATATGTAGTGTATTTTTTCCGTTTTTAATTTAATTACTTTTTTTAAGATTAATTAAATGGTGTGTTAGTCCAATATAGACTTGAATAAAATTGAAAACTATTGAAAATTGTTATGTTTTGTTAATTTGTTAATAAATGTGTAAATTAAAATATCTTTTAATTTTTTTAAAAGTAAATCTGTAAAATTTGGTATAATTTTTAATAATTTACATAACTTCAAGTTTAATCCATAATGATTTTTTCACAAATCATTATGGATTGTGGTTTTTGAAACCACAACCCTGTAAATTTTACAGATTTAGCATTCTCAAAAAAACATTTGAAAGTTAATTAAACATTCAATATTACAACTTTTGTGGTTTATATTTTAAATTATAGATAAAAAATTCCAGCTTATTTAGGAGAGTTTGTAAAAAGTTATGCAGTAAAAATTGAAAAAAAGTTGGTGTTTCTAAACTTTTGCACGCTACTGTATATTTACATACATATGTATATATAAATTGTCAAGAAAGTTTTTACTCTATTCTGAATATAATAATGCTCTTAATGTTATAAAGTTATGACATAAAAATTCAAATCTTAGATTTTAATTCACTTGCATCTGCTTAATGCTTAAATGTTCAATGTACTAAACCTAGTTTTTTAATTTATATTTGGCAGACTATTTTTATATATGCAAATGTATATATATATATATATATATATATATATATATATATATATATATATATATATATATATATATATATATATATATATATATATCAAAAAAAATATATATATATATCAAAAAAAGAAAAGATAAACTCACTCCTTTTTCTTGCTTCATTATACTTGGATTAAGCAATGCAACAACAGTTCCCACTTGAGTTTTCCAATGTTCTTTATAAACTTCTCCAAACAAAAATAGGCCAACTGTTTTATTTTCTGTTCCAACTCCAAGATCACTAAGGCGCCAAACTAAACCATATATTTTGTTTTAAAAATTGTTATGCATTTTAAAAAAGGCCTTGAACTAAGTTGAGTTAAAGATTCAAAGCTTCTGTTTAAGTAAAATTAAACTTTTTCTATATATAAATTTTATAGAGAAAGTTTTTAAATAAAATGCTGGTTGCAAAGCTGGTTGGTTAAGGCCTGTGTGACAACAATGATGCTGATTTGAGAACAACAACAACTTCAATGCTGATGTGATAACTTCAATGTTGATGTGATAACTTCAATGCTGATATGATAACTTCAATGTTGATGTGATAACTTCAATGTTGATGTGATAACTTCAATGTTGATGTGATAACTTCAATGCTGACATGACAACAACAACAACAACAACTTCAATGCTGATCTGACAACAACAACAACTTCAATGCTGATGTAAAAATATCAACTTTAATGTTGATGTAACAACAACTAAAATTTAATGTGACAACAACAATAACTTCAATTTTGATGTGACAACATCAACTTTAATGTTGATGTAAGGACAGCAAAAATTTTAATGGTGATGTGAAAACAACAACTTCAATACTGATGTGATAACAACGACAACTTCAATGCTGATGTGACAACATCAACTTTAATTTTAATGTAACAAATAACAGTTTGTTGTAACAACAATACTTTGATATTATAATTTATATCAAAGTGATGACAACAACACTCTTTTATTAAAATAATTACCAAAATCAAATAAAATTTGGGCGGCAGTTCCCACCTGGTCTGGAGAAATTTAGCAGAAAATTAGCATTTTTTAGTGTTGAAAAAAAGGTAAAAAAAAAAAAGATCCTCAAATTTGGTCGACGCTGTCAAAAACGGTCCCTGATAGCTGCTGCATTTTAACTACTCAGTTTTGAAAAAGTTTTTCTAACCAGCTTTTTTATGAACTGACAATGAATACAGTTTTTGAGAATTAATGATGTCAATGATAAAATGTTTTAACGGACAAAAAATCATTTTTTTGGGTCAACTGGGTCTAAGTAGAATTCATTTTGTACTAAATAAAAAATGCATCACTTGTCTATTCACATATCAATACTTTTTTTTTTACAAGAATACAAGGGATATTTTAAAAACATTTTAACATCCTGATAAGCTTTATTTGCCCCAAGTTTTTAAAAAGAGCTTATTTCATAATGTTTTTCATGTTTTTAAGAATATGTATAAAATGTTTATTATAAAGAATTTTTTAAAGTATATTATAGAGAAAAACTTTTTTTGCTGATGCTTTAACTTTATATTCCTGTCTTGATAAAAAGTCTTCTCTTTTAGAACAGCTGATCTTAAATCTGATCTCACTTCTGTAACAGATTATGGTGATTACAGTGTGATTACAGATTACAGTGTGAGTAAAGTGGCTTACAGTGGGGCTCACACTAGCTTGAAAATTTTAACTCCAACAAAACCCAGTTATTTATTCTAAACAACTATCGAGTAATATTGACATTCTTATATTAATAAATAACAATCCTCTTGTTGAGTCCTATTCTTTACATCTTCTAGGATTATCGTTTACTACTGACCTTTCATGGAAACCATATATATAATTGATTGCTAAATTAGAATCTGCTAAGGTTGCTTCTCTTTATCATGCTCGCCATTTTCTTTTTCCTGATTTCATTCTCTACATCTATCAAATCTCTTATTCGTCTCTGTATGGAATTCTGTTGTCATATTAGGGCTGGTTTTTCTAATGATGCTCTTTCTCTTCTAGACAAGGTCTAAAAATGTATTGCAAGCTTAGTTGGACCCGCTATATCTGCTAAGGTTGAGTATCGTTATAAAATTGCATTTCTTTCTCTTTTCTACAAATACTATAATGGTTGCTGCTCAAAGGAGCTATTATCTCCAGTTCCATCAACTAAATCTTATTCTCGGTTGACTTGTCATTCAACTAAGTCTCATTCTTTTACTGTATCTGTCCCTGAATGCTCTAAAAACTTTTATTTGTCTAGTTTTCTTTCCTCCCACTTTAACTCTTTGGAACTTTCTTCCATCTTCGTGTTTTCCTGATTTATACAACCTTCAACTTTTTAAATCTTCTGTCAACTGTTTCCTTGCTCTATAACTCTTTTTCTTTTTTCTAGTAACTTCCAACTTATTAGTGGTTGCTTGCAGTTTTGTTGGGAGTGAATCAGAATCAAAAATTTAAAAAATAAAAAAATTTTAAGAAAAAAGATTTTAAAAATACAATTTGATATACTTTGTAAATTTACTTAAATTTTACAAAAGTTTTTTAAAGCTTTAATTTATATTTTAATTATGAACACTAAATTTTAAAAAAATACAGAACTTTTCATGACTGGTGGAATTTGTGAGAAGATAAGGTGAGATAATTATGAAGACAAAGAAGCAGGGCTGTGGAGTTGGAGTTGCGACATTTTTAGCGGAGTCGCTAAACAAAATGGCGACTCCGATTCCAATAGTAAAACTTCTCGGTATTGCATGTGCATGTACAAATCATTCAATTAACCTTATGTTCATACTAAACCTCAAAAAACGTTTCATAAATTTGTCAAAAAAGAAATTTTCTACTTATCGCGTAATATTTTTTTAGGAATTCAAAGGATTTTTCAAAAATTTTGCTTTGGAGTCGGAGTCGGAGTTGGAGTCGGAGTTGTGTTCAAAAAATTTCAACAACTGGAGTCAGAGTCGTTACTTTTTTTTTACAACTCCATACCCCTGCAAAGAAGAAAACTACATAAAAAATGAAAAACAGATATAAAATCATCATTAGTGAACCACAATTAGTGATTTGTTACTATACTCAGTTCCCTAATCTTTAAATAATTAGGAAGAAAAGAAGAACACTCATCATTCTTAATGAAGATAACCAAAAAAGGAAAAAAAAGAAAAATTTATTTTTCATAACAACAATTAAAATTGAACAACAAATCAATTTTAAAGAAAAAAAACTAAACAGATGTATGATAAATAAAACTATATACTTAAAAGCATTAAATGTAAAAAGCATACCACTAAAATTTTTTCCATTTGCAGATTGTTTCGATGCTGTTTTGTGAACAATTACACCAACTGTAACCCAATCTCCTTCTATGTCTCCATTTTTCATGGTAGCTTGAATATTAGAACATTTAATAATTTTTTTTCCAGCCATGCGCTGCTCGATGACAGCAGAAGAAAGTTTTGGTTTACTTTAAAAAAATTTATCAATTTCAATTGTTACATAAATATTTTAATTATAGTTAAAAATAAAATTATTGCTATTGTAATTTATACAACAATAAAAATAATTTTAGATATATAATATATATCTATATATAATATATTAAAACATTTTATATCCAAACTTTTTATATCCTATTAATATTTGTAAAACAGGTAAAAATGGCATCCCGTTATAAAAAATTACTATTTCATGATGTCATATTTATTCAAGAAAACAGCATTATGAAAACCTTTACAAATCAAACAAATGTGGAACTATGGACAATAAACTTGAAAAAACAAACAAACTAGTTACTAATAGTTTTATTTAAAATTATTTATTTAAATAAATAATTAACTGATAAATGACTCATATTACATATTAAATTTCAACATTCTTTAGGTTTTTAAAGAATATTTATTTAGTGGTAAAATAGTAAAAAATCAGAAACAAAACTAAAACATAAAATAACTCCATTTTGTTTTCGTTTCCTTACAATTAAATTATTACCAACCATAAATATTTGAATTAAAATAAAAACTTATAATTATAAGTTACATATAAATATTAGTGATGTGCCAGGTACCCGGTTCAGACCAAGGGACCCGATAATTTGGCAGTTTTCCTGGGTATCTGGAATTGGCCATTTTGTTGCAGTATCCAGCACCAAGTATTTTAAAAGAGATTTTCAATAAACATTAACCTTAAGTTCCGTTACTATTTGTTTAAAACTTTAAATTGTGACAAAATTTTAATAGGATTGATTTTAGTTTAAACTTCAGCCAATAAACTTCTTGATATAAGTCTTAGAGTGTTATGGTGTCGATAGCTATCTATTTATTCGATATAGATGTTCTCACTTAAAATAATTTTTAAAATTCATTTTTAAAAAACAATCAGAATATATTCCAAAAAATAAACTGATTTACACGCATATTTGAATAACTTTCTTTTTATTGTGTGAGAGCATTTTTTCACAATAGAATTTTCAGTAATTAAACTTTCAAATACTTAATGTTTGTTCATTCTAATCTGAAATTAATTAAACAATTAAAATAATAAACAATGTTGTTTAAATTCTTTTTTATTTGTTTTAAATTCTTTAATTTTATTCACACATTCAAAAAGGTCTACTTCTCTTTTTTTCTCTTCTTAGCCCATATTAGCATTTATTTAGCAATAAATTACAAAAAAGATATATATTATACAAAATACCACAATTATAAATTAGTTAGTATGAACAGTATTTTTTGAAGTTGATAGAGTTAATTTTATTTTTGAAGCTCTTGATGTTTTAGGCATTAATGATGTCAGACAGCAAGTTATTCCAAATATTTCCAAATATTACCCAAAGGGAGATTATATAACGAATATTTACTGATATCAAGTTAACACTTTAGTTTGTGTAATTTGAGTTTGTGACCTGGTTTAGTTATTATTTTAAATTTATTTTTATTAATTACCTGATTACAATTCCAGAATAACAAAGGTTATCAATAACCCCATCTTTTTTTTCTGTTTTGATAGAAGATTCTTTTGGCCGATTGCTCAATGAAGGAGCTAAGCCAAACTTGACATCTTTAACATCTAAATTAAACATTAATAAACACTGCAACAAGTTTTCAATGAAATCAGCTAATATAACTAAATCTAACTAACTCATGATTATCTTAAAAACATTTATCTATATTAGATAAAATCCCATAGTAAAAAATCCTTGCATTTAATGATTTAAGATGTCGACAAAGTTCACTTCTAACAAAGCTACAAGCAACCACTAATTTAGTTGTAAGTTTACAGAAAGCAAAAAGAAATGTTAAAGAGCAGAAAAACTGTTGACAGTAGAGGACTCAGTAAGAGGGTTGCTCTTCATCAATGTAGAAATTTAACAGCAATATCCATTAGTTGAAAACAACTGAGTTTTGTTTGGGTCATTAAGCTCACTAACTATTGCAAACCTTAATATATTACAGATCCTTGTCTATCAAGGACAACTTTAATACTAAATAATTGATAGAAAAAGTTCAGTAATTTTAAGTCAGTTATTAGAATCAAAATTACTGTGATATGATATCAATAAGTATATATCAAATTGATATATACTAATTTTTTGATTTGGATACACTATTATATTAAGGTTACTTAAATTTATATCTAAAAGAATCAACTAACAAAGCTTATAAAGACAGGAACTTTTTATTATAGATAGCAGTCACTGTGATAAGATTTAAAATATTATCACAGAATACATGAAAATAATTGATTTAGAATACTAGATTGGTTTCTTTGGTTACGGCTTTGTTAAATAAATAAAAAAAAAATCATATATGTCTTTAAAATTTAAAGGCACTAGAGCACAACAGTGCTCTAGTGCCTTTAAATTGGTCAATAAATCAAAATAAAAATAAAATTATTAACAAAATGAAATGGAAAAAAAAATTAAAAAAAAAACTCACCCACAAATTTTTCTGAAAGATTATGAGCAACTCTGGCTTTCTTTATCTTTAATGTTTCTGAATTATCTAACAAAGACTCTTTGTTTGTTTCAGGTTGAAGAGTAAAAGTACTTATTTTATTTAATGACACTGCATTGTTGCTAGTACCAACATGATTGATTTTATTGCTGCTAGTATCAACATGATTGATTTCAGATGGTTTTTGTGAACAGAAAAAGCAATCATTTTTTGTTTTATCATAATTCATTAAGTAAAAAATCATTTTAAACATCTGAAACTTTATCATAAAAAGTAAATGTATTTACACATACAAATATAAAGTCTTATAATTAGAAAAAATATCATAGATACTAGGGTGTGTCATACTTTATGATTTTTTGAAAAAAAAGTTTTTCCAAAAACCCGGTATATAGAAAACTTGTGTACAACATAACAAACTATTTTAACATTAAAACCAAAAAAAAAACTAAAAATAATTTATGTTAAGCTACTGGGAAGTGAGTTTTAAAACTGCATATTTATAGTCAATTTTTCGTAATTAGCTTTGACCCTAACCACAGACACTGTTTTGCGCATTTTTATAAGCAAATAATTGTTTACACCCACTCACGTTGAATTCTATTTGATATCAAAACTATATAAAATTTCCAATTTATAAATTGTCGAACATATAATTTGTATGTTAAATGTTAATATAATAAAAATTAAAAAATTTACGCAAAAAGTTTGCAAATTAGTCATGTCGGAGTCAATATTCTCAAAAACTAGAAAAAAGAAGCGGATCAAAGCTTTCGGAATATATAGGTTCTGGAACAGATATTCTTGCATCAGAGTTAACAAGGCTAAGAGATCTTCTTAGATATGGTCTGTTTTTGCAAGAAAGAAACAATAGATACAAAGGAAATTATCCGATAAAATCACTAATAAACGATGTTTACTCAAAATTGATTGGTAAATGGATACACGCCAATGCTTTATTTGTATATCCTGTAACATATATTGAACATTATATTACTGCAACATTGGTGAATGAATGGAATGCAGCCAACCTGGTTGCTAGGGAAAAAACAAACTTAAAGAAAAAGATGCAAAACTTGACAAATTGTTTGATGTACTGAATTGTAATTGCCAAATTATTACTTGTGAAGAGAAAAATTGTTTTTCAGAATGTAACGATGAAGCCCATATTTACTGAAAGTGCGAAAAGAAGAAAAAGATTCCAAAAAAAGAGTTAGTTTTTATACTTGGGCAAAGAGCTAAAATAGGGAATAGCGGTCCTCATCAAATTGGATTAGCTGACTTGAAAGAAAACATAAAGCTACATATATTGGAGAAAGATTGAAGGAAGAAGTAAGATTTTTTTAATTAGTTATGTTTTTAATTAGTAATTAGTCAATAAAGAAAAATTAATTAAACTCCGAAGTTAAATTAATTTTAGTTATATTACAAATATATCTGCCTGTTTCAACTTAAAAATAACAAAATCTATTTATATTTAACTTATATTAGGAAATGGCAAATAAAAAATATACTCATAAAACTATTTGTGCTTACAATATTTTGCAAAACATCAATTAATTAAAATTCAATTACTTTATCCATAGCTAAAGCAAAAAGCATCTGAAAAACTGCAACAAATAATTAGAAGTCAGGAAGATAAGTTTGAATTTGAATTTAGCGAAACAATTGAACTATTTAGTAATGAATGTTTTACAACAAACAGCATTACTGAACTCAATCTAATGTGTCAACAGAATGAAGATCAGGAACGTTAACGAGGACAAAGGAATTATAAAAGTATTTCCATCATAGCGTTAGCGAGCATATGATATGGTACAGGCTTACGGGAAACAGCTACAATTGCAACGGCAGCTGGAATGGTGGCAGGAATAGTTAAAGATGATATCAAGTTGGTTATTGACAACAGCAAAGTCAAGAGAGCTCAAGAAAAAGTTATGCAGTCTCTTTCTAGAGAGTTTGATACTCAATGCAGGTCTACCATTATTGATTGTGTATTTTTTTGATGGCAGAATTGATAATACAAAAGTTCAATTAGTAATCGAAGGTTCGTCTAAATGCTATCCAACTACAAACAAAGAAGAAAATTATACAGTATGTCAAGAGCCTTGTGGTAGGTATCTTTTCCATTTTATACCTGAAAAAGTTTAAAAACATATGAAACACGCTGAAGTAATTGCTCAGAATATATATGAATTTTTGAAAAGTAATGGTGCCGATAAAAGCTTAACAGCGATCGGTGGTAATTCAACTAATATTAACACAGGGTGGTCAGGCGGAGCAAAACATTGGCTGGAAGTAAAGTTAGGAAGAAAGCTAAACTGTCTGGTTTGCGCACTCCATAATGAACTTCCTCTGTTTCATCTGATAACGACTCTTAATGGAAAGACTCTGAGCAGCATCAAATGGAGAGGCAGTATTGGAAAATTATTAAATGACGCAACTGCTCTGGAAATTTATCCATCCTTTGAAAAAATTGATGTCGGAAATCCGCTAATTACTCTAAAGGATGAAGTAATCAATCTCCTTTCAATTTTAAGTAATCTCCAATCAATTTCTTCTACATTCTCTAATCAGAGAATGTAGAGGAAAGAAAGAACGGTATAGAGTTAGTTGTGAAATTCAGAGGTCCTGGTGATAAAAATGTGAGAGCTAGAATAACTCCAGAAATAAAACCTGATGCAACAACGCTTATGCAGCTAATCGACAGGAATATATCCTATAAGCCTATTCTTACTTGTGATCTGACAACAGAAGAAGTAAAACAGATAATATTTCAGCCTATGATTGTTCCTAATTGGCCTTGTCATGGACAGTCAATTGAAAGACGAGTTAAACAGGTAACAGAAGCAGCAAGCAAAGTTTATTCTCAAAAAAAAAGAGATGGTTTTATAAGAGGGCAGGACTTATCAAGAGAATTGATGTCTACTAATCGGTAAAAGAAAGGTTTGATTTTAATGACAAAAAAAAAAGAAATGTAAATTTTATTTTGTTAAAAAAAAATTATATTAAAAAAAATCTATTTTCATTGAATAAAAAACTAAATGATTCAAAAATGATTACAAACGGAAACTATTATAAACATTTTAATAATAATAATTTTAAAAAATCAAATTCAAAAAATTTAAGCCGACAAAATATACAACCACAAGCAAAAATTTGCTGTTCTATTAAGAAATTTTCCGCGAACTTAAGTGAATACTAAATATCGATTCCCGGTAGCTAAATCATTTCGGATTTTTAAATCTAAGCTTTTTTTAGTAAAATTATATATAAATACAAGTTCTTAGAATACAGGGTTTTCAATCTGGAAAAAAAAAAATAGTATGACACACCCTAATAGATACTCTCCCTACAAAAAAAAATACCATAGATACTCTCCCTACAAAAAAAAAACACCATAGATACTCTCCCTACAAAAAAACACCATAGATACTCTCCCTACAAAAAAACACCATAGATACTCTCCCTACAAAAAAACACCATAGATACTCTCCCTACAAAAAAACACCATAGATACTCTCCCTACAAAAAAAAACACCATAGATACTCTCCCTACAAAAAAAAACACCATAGATACTCTCCCTACAAAAAAACACCATAGATACTCTCTCTACAAAAAACAAACACCATAGATACTCTCCCTACAAAAAAACACCATAGATACTCTCCCTACAAAAAACAAACACCATAGATACTCTTCCTACAAAAAAAAAACACCATAGATACTCTCCCTACAAAAAAACACCATAGATAATCTCCCTACAAAAAAAAACACCATAGATACTCTCCCTACAAAAAAACACCATAGATACTCTCCCTACAAAAAAAACACCATAGATACTCTCCCTACAAAAAAAAACACCATAGATACTCTCCCTACAAAAAAAAACACCATAGATACTCTCCCTACAAAAAAACACCATAGATACTCTCCCTACAAAAAAAACACCATAGATACTCTCCCTACAAAAAAAAACACCATAGATACTCTCCCTACAAAAAAAAACACCATAGATACTCTCCCTACAAAAAAAAACACCATAGATACTCTCTCTACAAAAAAACACCATAGATACTCTCCCTACAAAAAAAAACACCATAGATACTCTCCCTACAAAAAAAAACACCATAGATACTCTCCCTACAAAAAAAAACACCATAGATACTCTCCCTACAAAAAAACACCATAGATACTCTCTCTACAAAAAAACACCATAGATACTCTCCCTACAAAAAAAAAACACCATAGATACTCTCCCTACAAAAAAAAACACCATAGACACTCTCCCTACAAAAAAACACCATAGATACTCTCCCTACAAAAAAACACCATAGATACTCTCTCTACAAAAAAAAAACACCATAGATACTCTCCCTTCAAAAAAAAACTACATAGATACTCTCCCTTCAAAAAAAAACTACATAGATAAAAAGTTTTGCATATATGAGCTGTTTAGCGCAACAAACATCTCCCTACAAACCCTAAATAGACTCCTTCAACTAACAACATCATTAATTAGGATCAACTATCTATAAATTTAAAAAAATATTTACAGAATACTATTAATCAAAAAATCATTAAAAATTGAATTTATTATTATTATGATTATATATTATGATTAAGAGTGCTTCTATATCGATAGATAAATTGGTAAAACATCCAAGGAATGCTGCTATATCGACTAATAAATAGGTAGAACATGGGAGAAGTGCTGTTACACTGACTGAAGCTTTTGGTTCAGGCAGACAATCTATCAGTTAAAAAGAAATTTCAACTTTTTCCAGTCTTACATATTATGTAAGACTGGAAAAAGTTGAATAATATTCGGGCAGACAATCTATCAGTTAAAAAGAAATTTTAAAAATAAAAACATTCAGAATGTTTTTATTTTTATTAAAAAATTAAAAACATTTCAGTCTATTAAGTTGCGTTTTTGTTATTTTTTAAAATTCAATTAGTTTACTCAATTATTTTAATGGTTTTTGCATAAAACGTACTTAATTTTAACTAAATTAAAATTAAATTAAAAAGATTGATTTATTCTTAAAGACAAAGAGTTGTTAAAAGACGTATTTTACCACAAATGGTAAATTTAAAGCTATTACTATAGAAATATATATATTCTGTAAATCAAGAAAAATTGAGGTGAAGAAAATAAAGAAAATGTGGGAATGAAGAAAAATGAAGAAAATGAGGTGAAGAAAATTAAGAAAAAAGAAGAAAATAAAAGAAAATCAAGGAAAGAAAAAAAATATTTTTTTTGGAATTTTTTTAATTAAAAAAAATTTTTAAAAAATACATTATCATAAAAAATAAATCATAAACCATAAAAATGACGTATTAGTCAACCAAAAATCAAATAAAATGAATATTTATTACATTGTGGGTTAGACGTTTGTTCCGCTAAACAGCTCATATATACAAAACTTTTTATCTTTTAGAAACCTTATAGCAAGACTTCTTAAAAAAAAAATTGTATTGTTTAGTTGGAAAATGTTTGTATATAGTATAATACACAAACATTTGCAATACAAAGACAAAAAAAATATTTAAAAACCGCAAAAAATCAAACAGCTCTTTAAAAAGTGCAAAAAATCAAATTGCTAATTTTAATAAAAATTTTATAGATATATTTGCTTTAGAGAGTATTAGTTTATAAAATACTTTTGAATAGTATTGGCTGTTGAATAATACTATTGTAATTCTATTGGCTGTTGAATAACACTATGGGAATATTAATTAGCTATTAAACAAAGGGTTACTAATGGTTTTTAATTTGTTTATAATACTATTAAATCTAATGATTTACTCATTATAAAACTAGTGTTACAATAAATAAACTAGTATTATTGACAATTCACTTTAAAATCTTTAAAAATAACTTTTTAAATTTGTCTTGATAATAAAATAATTTTCAAAAAGATACTATGAGAGCAAAGTTCTAACTTATCTTTCTTGTGCAATGGAAGTTTATTCTTTTTCAATAAATCAATTTGAGCTTGCAATTCTGCTATCTTGGCTAAAAAAAAGCAATTTGTTTTCTTCTTTTTAATTTCCATACCTGATTCAATACAATTGCAAAAAAATTTAACATTGGTAAAAAACAAATTCAAAAACTAGTACTGGATTAGATGCATAATTGCCTGGTAGTGTCAAGGCCAACTGAAATTAATCTTTTTTGTAAACTATGGCCCAACCTTGGTAAATCTGTAATTTAAAGTAATATCAGAAAAAAAATATTTTGTAATAAAGTTTCATAATAAAAAGATTTTTTCCTTTAAATTTTAAAAATTTGACATTTAGTACTTTAACCCCATTTTTATTATGACAACTTCAACCCCATTTTTAATCTGACAACTTTAACCACATTTTTAATTTGACAACTTCAACCCCATTTTTAATATGATAAATTCAACCCAATTTTAATCTGACAACTTCAACCCCATTTTTAATCTGACAACTTCAACACCATTTTTAAAATAGTTTGAGTACAATTGTCATATTTAAAAAAAAAGCAGCAAAAAAAGATTTTTGTACAAATATTTATAATATTTATATTTATATAAAAAGTACAAATTATTTATTTAAACTAGCTGGACTTTGCATTTTTTTAAATTAATAACTAATTTATCTTTTTCAGCATAAATTTAAACTTTTTGTCAAATAAAGCATTTAAAACATTGATCTAAACCGTTTTTAATTTCTGACTTGTAAGAACTACAAAGCATATTCTGAAGAAACTATTACAGGCGAAAGAACAGCTGTATGATATAATAATATTTTGAACTAAATTATTTTATATTCGAACTAATTATAACCAATATAAGATGTAAAATTGTCTCTGAACCCAGCTGTATTTAGTCTGTAAAAAAAAACTTTGTACACTGAATATCTTTATATTACTTTATCACCATAACAACCATACTTTAACTGAAATATTTTTATAACTTTTTAAAATATTTTTTAATTTTTTAATAGTCTATAAGCCTGTGTTTTGTAGATAATAAAGCTTGCAATATCTGTAAAATTTGCTAAAACTACCACTGTCTATAGAAATTAAGTTTATTGCTTAAAGCAATTTCTAGGAAAACCCATTATAGGTATGAATATATATATACAAATAGTAAGTTAACTTCTTAAAACTTCACAATCTTTTAATTTTGTTCAAGGGAGATTTTCAATTTATAAGATTTCTGGGAAAAACAACTTTAACTTGCAAGTTTAAAAAAAATGTACTTGTATACATTTTTTGTTTGCTTTTTAAGCGTAGTTTCAAAACCTTTTTTCTTCAATCTCCCTAACCCCAAATGGAATTTGGGGTTATTTTTTCTCCCTAATCTCCCTAACCCCAAATGGAATTTGGGGTTACTTTTTCCAAATTGGAATTTGGAAAAAAACCCAAAATCTCATAGCTTCAATCTCCCTAACCCCAAATGGAATATTCAGTATTTAGGATTTCAATGAAAAACAATTTTTGCCAGTAAATATTAAAAAGATTTTCTTTTAAAACAAAATATTTATAAAATATAAATAAAATATAATATTACAATGTGAGAAGTACTAAAATAAATTTTATTAAACTAAAGTTGTTAGTTGTTGCTTCGAAGATTTTTATAGTTTAGAAAGTAATAAAATAGTTAGGGTAATATAAAAAGTGAAAAAAATAAACAAAGAGGTAAAAAGAAAGTATAACTAAAAGCAGAAAAATAAAAAATTTTTAGAGAGTAATTTAAAAACTGAAAATATTTATCGCAAAATTTTTTGATTAACATTTTAAATGCCTTTTAAAGCAAAAATCACGAGGATTGCCACAAACATGGGTGGCAATCCTCATGATTTTTTTTACTGTTTTTTTACTGATTGTTTTTCATTAGGTTTTTGATTTCCAATCATGAAAATCACTGTAAAAGAAAACATTAAATATTCAAATATAAATGAAGTAAGTTCTTTTTTACAACTTTGTAAACTGTAATAATCATTTATTTTAGAGTACATTAAATACTCAAAAATGTTGTTTTTAAACTTTTTAAAGTTCTTCTTTACAGTTTTGTAAACAACACAGTTTGTAAAGCACACAGTTTTTGCTTTACAAAAAAGAGTACACAAACTTGTGAAAAATGAATTGGATTTTAATAATGAAGGTTTCAAGAGCAGTTTATTTCAACAGCTAAAAGCTGCTCAAATTCAATATAAGGTGACAAAAAAGTTTAATTGTATTCTGAGCCAACTGCACAAAATAATTTGAACTGTGAACGTTTGATTTTCATTGATTGGAAAACAGAAACCTAATGAAAAACAATCAGTAAAAGAGAAACAAACAGAAAAAAATGATACATCATTGATGATACATACTCATCATCAAGTTCAAGAGCAACATTTATGATTAATTGATATATGAGAATGCATTTCTCATAAGGGGATAAAATTTTAAAATATTTATTATTAGAAAAAAAATATCGGAAAAAAAGGTTTTTACTACTAGATTATTTTTTGAAAGAGGTAAAACTTTTCCAACAGGGTGTCATATACTGCCAGCTTAATGGAAAAGTAATTTTATAGACAACATATTACACTTTTACCCTGCCCAGCACCGATTAGGGCTGTTCATGGGTTGGGTCTAGACAAAGACCTGTTTGAACAGGGACCTAAGACTTGCCAGATCTAAAGAGGTCAGGTTAATGAGTTTTAAGACTCATTAAATTAACAAAAAAATCTCAAGGTTTTAGCTTGAAGAGAGTGAACCATTTAGAATATAAAGTACATAACAACTTTTATCCATATAAACTAAACCAAAGTATATATTCATATTTTCGGTAATATATAGTCGTTATTGTTGCTGTTGTAACTAATTTATAACAATCAAATATTTAATCAAATTTAAAAAATTAACATTACATCAAATTAATGATTAAAAACTAATTTTATTATTAACTATTAAAAAAATGTTTGTTAAAAGTAAATTATGGATTTTAAAAGGATTTTAAAAGGAAAAGTATAAATACAATCTTTTTTGAAAATTAAAAAAAAAACTGTATAAATAATTACCCTCTGTTTCCATATCTGGCGATTCTACATTAGAAATTAACCTCTTTTTTTTCTTTTTAGGAGGAGACATTGTATTTTCTTTTTCCATTAGCGCAGTTAAAATTTCATCAGCAGAATCTTCATTTTGCTCCTCTGATGGTGATATTTTTTCAGTAACTTCTTCATCAAGAAAAGTATTCAAAATATCGTCATCACTTGAATCAAGTATATCCATCACTTGAATCAAGTATATGCAGTTTTGATAAAAGTTGCATTAATAATTATTAATCAAAAGTTTATCGAAGATGACTGTCGTTGTTGCAGGTTATTTTGTAGGTTATATTGGTTTTATTTTTTGAGTAATAAAAGAATTTTATATTTCTTTTTAATACTTCTTAAAATTGTAAAACAAATAAATTAATAATAAAGTGTAATAGTTGCATAAAAAAAACAATCTTATTATGTTGTGTTTTGTTTACACAATATGATTGTTATTATTTAAACTGTTCGCGCGAAATCCGCACATCCGAATATCCGCATACTCAATGCAACTAAGGCCTGGTACACGTTTTTTCGAACAAAAATGTAAGATTTTTCAATTGCAATATATGTAAATTTTTTTGTCAAAAAGTATGACATGTTTGGTATGTTTGGAAAGATTTTTTTAACCACTATTATAATCTGGTAAAAGTAATGCGACTTTAACAAATCGTCAAGCGTAGTTTTATTTAGAAAAGATGTAGTTTTCAACATAAAGTACCGTGGGGCTTGGCTATAGATGAGTCTATAAATTTGATTTTTTCATAAAAGCATGTCTTGGTATTTGTTTTCAATGAATGTAACGTGACATTTACGATTAGACATTATTTGGGGAAAATATCCATGAAAAACTATTTTTTTATGAAAATTGAAGTTAATATTTTCAATACCACACCTAAATGAATAATTTTAACAATAATGTCAAATTAGATTCAGATAAACTATGGTAGTGTTAATGTTTCTGCAAAAGTCGTTTTTACATAAATATTCACAACTTTAAGCCCCAATTAAAAAACTGTTTTCGGTATTTAGTTTCATTTTTTGAAATACTCGGGACTTATTCGGCATCTTAAAAAAATAATTTATTCCATTCAGCAGAATGCGTCAACAATTTGAAAAAAGAGGCGGTAAACTTTATAAACAAGTTAGTTTTGATTTTCATATCAGCAGCATATAAACTTTATAAACAAGTTAGTTTCATTGCTTCTAAAAATAAATGCAATCAACTTTTTAAATTAAAGTATGGAATGACTGTGATATCAGTTAATATAATATTTTTTACTCTTTAAACTTTATAGATCATCACTATGTCTATAATAGATCCATTATCGTGTGGTTATGTCAAAGTTATTGTGTTTAACCTGCTGATGTCAAAGGCTTCCTTACAGCAAAGAATTGATGAATATAATTCAATATTCAGCTGTCAAAAAGAAAATTTTGCTGTCTCTAATGATATCCATCGTCGAAATTTTCCTAAGATTAAGGCAAAATTATGTTATCTTTCTAAACGACATAGTGCAAAAAAGAAGATAATAATGGACACATTTTCTTTAAATGCATGGATTAAACTTAGTTTAACAGAAAAATGTCGATACAGGTTTTCCAACTGTCAAGAGTGTGTTAAGCTTAATGCAAATGTGTTATCTTTAATCCCAACAAACACTAAGTTTTACAAAAAAAAAGCAAGTTATCTTTTGTCAAATGAAATCGCAACTGGAAACAAAGAAAATTTAATAAGTTGCGCAAGTACTTTATTGGATGAAACAAATAGAAAATTTAAAAAACAATACTTTATGCCAATAACAAATGCAATACCCCTCATACCTGATTCAAACTTAATTCAGAAACCATCAAGAACTGACACAAAAAAATTACGCAATAAATATGCAAGGTTATTCAAATGCAGTGTTGAAAAATGCTTTGAAGAAACAGCAGCTGTAAGGTACATAATCTTTAAAAAGCTAAAACTGTTTTTTATATAACTTTATTTAGTAGATTCAAATTGAGATTTTGTATTTTCCAAATTGAAAAATCCTCTTAAATAAATAAAAATATTTTATTTATAGGGCATTTGGAACTGAAATATCTTTGCGGAAGGCTACAAAAATACGAATGAATCAAAGCTTTGAAACTTTTGCAAACTTAAAAGTTCGTAATGAAAAAAAAAATCCAAATAAACTTAAAGATCATACTGGAAACTACACAAATAAATGGAATGAAAATGATTGTTGGAAGGAGGTAGTTTCTTATGTGCCAGGTACAAAAATCAATTTTACTGAGCTAGCAAAAAAATACAATGTTATTAACAGTAATGGTGAGCTAAAAATGGGGGTCAAATTGTAAAACAGTTTCTATCAAGTAAAGGTGTTGACTTAAGTTGTTTGAAATATAAAGGCCAAGGAAATAGAATAATAAGACGATGTAAGAAGAAAATTCATGCAACAGATATTAGTATACCTGCTGAACCAACAATAAAAAAAATTAAGTTGAATATAAAAGAGAAAGTGTCTAAAGGAGAATATACCATTGGTGAATTAATTATACCACAAAAGTTCCAAATCCTTACAATAAATGATGATAAATCTTTTAAAACTACTGAGGTAGATGTAGCAGGTAGAAAAATCCCTCTTAATCATATCAGAAAAACACTTGCTGAAAAGCACAAATGTTTTATGCGATTACATTCAGAATCTGAAATAAATTCAATGAGCGATGGCAAGGTTAAAGAAGAGCTAAATCGTTTAAATGAAAACGACAATAGCATTCACAAACTTCAGGATTTGCGAAAAAAACTATTATATTTTAACAGAAGAAGACACATACAAGTTTGGCATGATGGATCTACTGTAAACAACCATTCACATTTACTGTTTATGGTGAACTGTGTGTATGATAAAGCAATATATTACACTGAAAAGGAGCATTTTGAAATTCATGGTAAAAAAATTGACGTTCAAGCTCAGATTGAAAAACCTGAACTTTATATATTTGCTCGTTGTTCATCAACAGATAAACAGCTTACGTACACAAGTACCAGAAATGAAGATAACAGACTGTTAGGAGAGTCTATTGATATAAATGGTGAAAAAATTAATGATATAATGCGTTTTTTTCATGGTGATGCACCTGCCTGTCAGTTTGAGATTGGACAGCAAAAAGGAGGTGATTATCCTTGTTGTGCATGTCCAATTAACATAAATCGCTCTTATGATACAGCTTATTCATTTTATCAACCTCTGCTGAGTATAGAAAATAGAGTAAAGAAGCTCACACTTACTCAAATAAGCAGAAATAAAATAAACAAACAGCAAACTAAACTGTACAAAAACTTACCAAAACATGAAATTATTGATGAACTTAATGAACGAGGAATATATTTTCAATATAAATCACACAAAAAAATTCTTCAGCAAAAACTTGATAATGAAATGCATGGCATGCAGCGATTACCAGCTTTGCTGTTTAATGAGGATTTCGATGACTTAGAAAAGCTTTATTTAAGTAAATATGAAATCTTGCCATGTGAACCATTACATGATGTGAAAGGTCACACATCTAATCTTTATGAAGAAATCAGTTCTCATTTAAATACTATTGAACAAAAACTGTTTAAGGAAATGGTGAGTTTATCATTTGACAACAAAGATTGCAAACGTGGCATTGGCTATCGTAAAAGTTTAAGTAAATTAGTTTTGACATTGAAAGGAAAAATTGATTCAAGAGCTTATAATGTTTTATTAACAATGTTTTACATTCAAGGCATACTGTATGGTAATGAACTCAGTAGAACAATTGAAAATATTTTGTTTCTTTACAATCAAACATTTTTGCATTCAATTTATTTAAAAGAACTTATAAAGGACAAACCAATAGCAGTTTCACAGCAAAAAATGTATGGCAAATACCAACATAACCTAATAGTACATGCCCCACACATGTTAAGAATAATCTCTGGAATATCAGCAAATGCTGAAGAAGAGGAAAGAACTTTTAATACAATTAAAACTATAAACAGTTCAACTACAAACCACAATAGTGAGCATGTGATATTAAACACCTTGCTTCGACTACAATGTCATAAAAGCTTCAATGAGGGCTGCAAAACTCAAAACCATCAACATGCAATAAGAAAGATAGTAAAAGATTATGAACGAACAGAAACAGAAATTCCATTTTTGGATTATTGAAATGTATCCATGGATATGGCAAGGTCATTTAGAGCGGATATCAGACTACTTGTCAGAAGGGAATAATATTTGGTGGTTTGAGTCAAAAAATGGAATAACATTTAAAGATAAAATAAGTAATATTTCATCAAAATTGCAGCTACATCATTTTCGCTCATCCACATTAATGTCTGAATATATCAATCTTAAGAACATTTGGAATGAATGTTTATTGAACAAAACTAAAATTCCTGCACAAAAGATCAAGATTGAGTCGAACGAGGGTACTCAAGTTGTTAATTGTAACTCTTTAAAAAAATATATAGTTTTAGAAAATAAAAACCCAAAAATTCAGACCAGCACCAATGATTCTTTTATTCATTTTGCACAAATAACAGAGGAACCAGAAAAAGAAAGTTCAATTCAGATGCAAAAAATAATCAGATCAAAGAACCCAAGTATGGACCAAGCAACCAGTACTCCCCTTTTTATCTGATGTTTCAACCAAGCCTTATGTTCAACCTATTAAGGAAATCACTTCACCAATAAAGACAGTTTTTAAAAGATATCAACCCGTAGCAACTTCTTTCAATGAAATTCATTTATCAAATAACACCAATAACATAACAAAATCAAAAACAAATGTAGTTAATCTTAAAGACAAGGAAATATCAGCAATAAATTTGTTTAATAACACAGTTAATATTTAAAAAATATTAACTTTAAAAGTATTTATTAGTAATATATACATATAGTTTATATATATATAAATATATATATATATATATATATATATATATATATTTTGTTGAAAAAAGAAAGCTTGTCTTTTATGCTACTTTTTGTTGAGATTAGCGCATAACTTGATGAAAGAAAATACTATATTATATAAATAAAATTATATGGCATAAATAATGAACAATGAAATCATAACTCATGCATCAAAATATTGTTAATAAAGTCTTATAAAATATAGACATAAATTTTTAGTACCTCCATAAGTTTATGTTTCTTTCAAGAAAATAATAGACAATTGGTTTCTTTTGTTTTTATAACAATAACTTAAAAGTAACATAAGTTACTTTTAACTTATTTTTTATAAAAACAGTTAAATCTTTGAATACTAAGTCGATACAAATAGGTATTATGGCTTCAGTAATGTATCAAAACAAAATATTTTTTGTTGTTAGCACAGCACAGAATGACATATATTGCATAAGTTATTTCAGCTGCTTTTAAAAATAACATATTGTTCATAAATATACCAACACAAATGT